TTGCCCTTATAGGAAGCTTTTCCCGAACCCAGCATAATATAAACCCTATTTAATTCCTTATATTAAATAGGGGAATTTGTCGGCCAATATATTGGTTCCGCAGTTCAAACGGATGTCATGACTTTCTCTAGTTTATTTGATCGAGCCTCACCCTTCAATTCTTGTATTCATCCTTTGGGATAGATACAGAATTTGAGGTAAAGTGCTCTTCCATTTAAACTATGAAAATTATGAGGTCAGTTTGACTTCATCTTTTTCAAAACTAATTTTTTTTTTAACGTCCTTCCGAAGCGGGCAACGGGATTTCAATTCCGATGGCCGACAGCTTCTTACGGGCAAACTCCACACCAAAAATAGTGCCAACAAAGTTAGCTTTATTTTTGTGCATTTACTATTTTCTTTCCACCTACAATTTTTGTATTACATGCTTTACTTATTATTAAAAAAATTTAAGTTTGGGGGAAATAAAATTTTCTTTAAAAGAAGTAAACTAAATTTTATTTGCCCTCAATTAACTATATTTTTAAAATTAATTTAACATGACCTTAGGTATTAGAGTCTAACTTTGGATAACTATATTTTTGTTTTTAAATATTATAGTAAATTTAAGCAAAAATCTTTAATAATGAAGGTCGATTCTAGAGTTAAGATATTTAATATGAAAGAATAATACTATGATTTTTCTATTTAAAGTAAATGAAATTGTATTTTTGAAGTATTAGGAATCTTAGAGTTTGATATAAGAATAAAAGAATGCGACTTCATGAAAATTCTTCAAAGCTAATATGAATTTATAAAGTAAAGTAAGATAAGAAGTTAACTTTAAGAAGGGGATGGTGAAATTCAAAATTATTAAAGGCTATTCATATATAGTAATCCTCACATGGAAAATGAAAGAAAATAAAGGATTGAAAATGACCCTAAAAAAAAGAAAAAAGAAAAGAAAAAGAAAAGAAAAGAAAATAAAGAGAAAAAGGAAAAGAAAGGAAAATATGTGAGGAGAAGCTTTAAGAGATGCCTAATAAAAAATTGGCTTCACTTGAATCAACTTGAGAAAAAAAGACTTTATTACATTATCTAAATTTGTATTTCAATATTAGCAATCTTACTAATAAAGTTTTCATAAAATTCTTTTTCATATGGACATTCTAAGTATCTTTGATATGACAAATTTCAATTCTTCTTGAAATGAATAGACATTTAGAAATATTAGATATGATTACTAGGTGTTCTTATACTTTTAGTTTTAACCAAAGTTATTAAAAGTTTTTTTAAGTTATATTATTATATTTATTAAACTAAATTATTGAAGTTTATTAGTTAATTTCTACAATAAGCCATATTTTTATGTAGTAAAAAAGTCATATGAGGACATGTAACATTTAAATTTGGGGGATTTTAATATAAAAAAAAATGTGTACTTTTATGTATACATTTTATGCTTAAATTTGGTGATATTGCACTTTAAAGAAGAGTATTTTCATATATTTGGTGTAGGCACATTGATTTTAGACATTTAGAGCAAAAATGAGCAAAAGGTAAGAAATTTGGAGTCAAAATGCATTTTTTCAACATCCTGGCACCAAAGGCGGCAGAATCCAGAAGACAGCGTGAAACTCAAATAAGCTAGGGCCAGAGGCGCCAGAGACGATTTAAGACGGATTGTGCCGGTTATTGACTACTTTTGAGAGGTTATAGAAGGCTTCAATTAATTCAAACGCCTCATGGAGTAATTCAATGCATCTAAATACTTTGGAAAGACTCTTAAATGAAGAGATATGTCTCTTGGATGAAGGGACTTGTCTCTTGGTGTGAAGAGGTGTGCCTTATGGGAAAAAACAGGGAATTTTGAATTCCTTTGAAGAAAGGTTGGCACCTTAATTAAAAAGAGGAGCCTAGTGTGGCCATATAAGATGAGAGTGGAGAGTGTGGGGGCAAGTGGCATGAGAGAGAGTTGTAGATGAAGAGTTAGAATTTTCTTCTAGAGTTGTAAGAAGAGAGGGAAAGTGAAAGGTTTCTTCATTACATTTCTAAGAGAGCATTGAGTGTAGTTGTAAAGAGAGAAAGTGTTTAAAGGAAACTTCAAGGGATTTGCTTGAGAATGAGTGTGAGATAAGTTGTGTTCTTTCCTTTTTTTGTTTTGTAAACTCGTTTTTATAAATAAAATTTATGTTTGGTCGCATCATTCTCATGAATTCTGAGTAGCCTTCTTTATCCTTCTCCCTACAATAAGATATGGTTTTGTGAAGAATTAATTTTGTTATGTAAGGTTTTAAATGTCAATAAATTGTGATAATTCAAATTCTGATCTTCATTTACTTTTCAATTTGACCAATTGAAGTGTTAAAATTTGTTGAGAAACATAATATCCAAAAGAGCTATACTTTCTACAACAAGGTAAGAGTCACATTCAATTTCATAGGTGAGAATGTAGTCTATAGGGTTGAGTGCAAATAAATAAGGAAATATATTTTGATAAGCGTAAAATTGAAGGTTTTAGGGTGACAGACTAGCGTGATAGACTGAAATCCCCAATTTGATCAAGTTGCTTGGAAACTAAAGCGAGATTGTTAGCCCTCAAGGGAGAGAGAAATGAGAGCTCTGGAGTGGGAGCCAACATCCTCTCAACCTAACCACGAATTTAGGAACAAAACTCTAGACCAGTCAATATTCTTTATGCACTCTCAGAGGGTAAATAATAAGATTGCTTCTATTTGACACAATACAATTATATATATAATTTTGAATGATTTTAATTACTTCACAATCCATAAACTCATTGTAAAGGGAAAGGATGCTTTCTTAAATTTGAACTCTTCATTTCAAAACTTTGTTTAGTCTTAGTAAGTTTAATTTTGAAGTTTAGAATATAACTTAGTTAACTTAATTCTTTTAACTGCATTTCATTTAGCATACATCAAATTCACTTTAAATTTATTTTTCTTATTTAAGATTTTGATGTTTGAATATTGTGTTTTGAATTATAACCATAAGAATTTTTAACTCCCTGTGAGATCGATGCTTAAGACTTCATTAGAGCCATTTATTACTTGAGTGATACATATACGTGTTATTACTAAGGTTTGACAGCTTAAAGATTTTAAAATATAAAACTATTTTATACTTAAGTGATTTTTATTGTGATTGATCTACATATTTACTAATTGTGCTGTCGTGAGCATGTTGTAGTATTGAAAGATATTTACAACTCATACACAAAAATACCGCATCACTTGGTCATGTATAAATTGAGTTTTATTGTCATTTAATATTATATAATTAAGGTTGATTGACCATAATTTGAGGTAAGGTTGAACGACATTGGCCTACTTGAAGTTGAGTTGACTGGTTTGATTGAACTTTATTAAAAAATAATCAATATTGATCGGGTTGAATTTGGGGTTGAATATCCTTGATTGAGTTGATTTTGAGTTTGCATACTTTAATTAAGTTAAATTAGAGTTAACTGCATTGACAAAGATGAAGTGGCTCTAACTTTGACTAAGTGAGATTTTTATATTATCAACATTGACTTCGCTAAACATAAGTTTATATATTTTAAGTAGCTTTATAAGTTCGAGTAAGAAATGATCCATGATAGATCTTGAAATTTTCACAAACTATTGTTTCTTAGAGAGTCAACATAAACTCTTTCTTAAGACTCAAGAATGATCATCATAAATATTCCTACTAAATTTTTTTTTAAGAGGACAAAACCTCTATCAAACAAGTTTTAATTATATGCAAATTATCAGTAGAGTCAAAATCAATTTGACAAAAAAGTCAACCACAAAATTAGAATTTTGCATGAATGTTTTTATTTTTTCATTAAGACATGTTAATTTACAACATTATAAAAATCTTCAGCGAATTTAACCACACTCTAATCATTCATGCTATAGACTTATCATATTAATATTGATCATACTTATTTGATAGGATTTATTTTGCATTGCACTTTATTATTGATAAAATTTATGAATTAAATATATTAAAAATAATCATTTTTTTTGAGTAAATTCTTATCAATAATTAAATCAATATCATTCATTATAAGTGATCGATATTTTTAATTAAAATTGAATAAAACCTGTGATAATTTTAATACAAATTTATCATTTTTTATAAGAAGTAAACATTACAATCTAGGTTAATTGAGTGGTTTATTAAATTAAAATCAACTGATTAGAATGATTAATTCTAAGAGTTAAAAAGATAAAATGATATATAAGTAATAATTAAATTTAAGATGGCATATCACTGAAAAAAAATAAGAATTAAAAAGTGGCAATTATTTTTTATGCAATTGCCCCTAAAAAATGAATAATTACATACAAAACATTAGAAATATTGCTATTTATAAAACAAGCATAAAATAAAAAGAATTTGAAAAAGATAAAGCTTAGTTTGTAAATAGCTATATTTCGGAATCCTTTCATGTAATTGTCCCAATAAAAAAAAAATAAAATCCTCGTGTACAGACAAATCATTCTCAGCCACCCGTTGGATTTGCAGAGTGTCTGCGGCAAACCATGAGAAGAAAAACTGAAAGAATCATCGGAATGAAAAATGTCGGAAGCCTTCTTCGGCTTCATTAGCAATCTTAGTTAGCCTAACACGCTTCTTCTGGTTAAAGACTTCCACCTTACGCTCGAAGTCATGCTCGCCGCATATTCTTTCACAAGCCCTAGTTTTCTTAGTGCCGCTTCTAAATCCTTTGGGGTCGTCAACCCCGTTCCACTACCGCCAGCAAGCCATCGCTGCATTTCGCGCTCTGCTGCTGTCCGATTTGGAGTTAAATGCACTGCTACCAGGCCCCCAAAATCCCCCGGTATCTCTTCTTCTATTCTTTGATTCATTAAATTTAGTGTTCCTTAGCTTAGCTTGTGGTTGGCTCTCATTTGCAGCCGAGGAAGATTGGAAGGTCAAGCGAGATGTTTTGCTGCAGAAGAGGGTAACGACTACAGCCCAACCGCCCCATTGATATGTTTGAAATAACTGAGAATCAAGCTTACTAGTGAAGCTAGGCAGTAAGAACCTTATCTAATTGTCGTCCATGTGGACAATTAGGACAATTAGATGCTTGGGCTTCTTTTAGCTTCCATCTTTCACATTTTCTGGTGAAGCACTTTTCATATGATCAATAATGAAATGGATATGTTAGGATTGTCTCAAAGATTATTGATGTAATAGGTATGAAAAGTATTAAGTAGTTCATGAGTCTTATATTGGTTTTTTTTTCTTACAAATAGTTTGAATTGGGAGCTATTAGTTATGCAATGAAATTTGTAAAATTTTATTCCTCTGAATATCTTCTACCTCCATCTCCTCCTCTTGATCATGTATTTTCTTGCAGTTGCTGGCAAGCTGTTGTCATTGCTTATTCTGCTTGCTTGAAAGGTTTGTATCAATTGTCTCTCTTGCTATGATCTTCCTCTGCTTGCTCTCAAAATCTAATTAGCCAGTTTTCAAGCCAAGAAATCGCACCATTTCTCTATTGCAGTACTTGTTGTTTCTCTGAAATCTAAGAACTAGTTGTTATCATTCCTTTCTTGATTTACCTTTTCCTGTTTCAAAATGCAATAAAGATATTTGATGAAACACTCTGTAACGCCAATGAATAATGAAATGGGTGCAACGGCCAACTTGTTAGAACTTCAAAATAGTGTTGAACAAAATTAAGCATAATTTGGAAGATTATATACAATTTTCATCGGTTTTTGACTAGACTTGAGGTTATCCTGTGCTTACCCCAATTTCAACACCAATGTTGGCTGCAAACAAACTCTTGCAACTTAACTGTTTTCTTATATTTGAAGTTGATTTATCTTTTTTGTCCAATGATGAATGGAGGGCATTTTGCGATGCACCCAAATCCTTAACAAATGGTAAGCACCTCATCGAGGCCCTTATGTGATTCTGTTTGTTCTAGATGCATCCTCTCCTATTACCGTGGTTCAATCTATAATCAAAAAACTTGTTTGTGTTCTTTGCTTGAATTAATCGATGATCCTAGCACTTGCTCAAATACATTGTTTGATATAAATGGATATCAAAGCCTCTCTTTTACTCCACCATTACAGCTACTCACAATTTTTGAAGATACTTTTACTAAATTCATATCGACTCCAATTGCACTAGTGCAATCATAAGAATCAATTGAACATGTGGGTACCTCAAGTACCATTTGGAAATTGTTTGAGGGAAGTGTGGCTTGATGGCTGCCCACCTCCTGTAGTCACACCGCTGTTTATGCGACTATTTTAAGACTTGAAAATTTGTATGAATTTTTTATATGGATTTATCCTGCTATACTATGTGCTTCGACCTTGAGGGAAAGGTGCCTTTTAAAGTTGTTGATAATGATCCAATCAATCATATCATGGGTATATTAGCATTATATTGAAAAATCTTTATGATTCATTAGTTCAGTAATAGGTACAAAAATCAAATAGATAGTTTATGGGTGTTTATTAGTCTTGTACTTTGTATAATAGCCTCAATTGGAAGCTATTAGATGTGCAATGAAAGATTCTCTTACTTAGACTATCTTCCTTCTCGTAGTCTTTATTTTCTCAATCCTACATTTTCTTGGAGTTGCTGGTGAACTACAATTTCTATTTATTCCCCTTAATCTAATAGATTCATGTATTAGCGAGAGCACCAATTGATACGAACTTGGATTAACAAAGATTGTAGTCCACTGGCAACTCATAGAGAACTCAGGATGTGAAGGGGGAGGAGGAAGAAGATATTCAAAGCAAGGGGATGTTGTTCATTTCATTGCATATCTGATAGCTCCCAATAAAGCCAACTTATATAAAATACAAAACTATTAGTAACCCATAAATTATCTATTAGTTGGTCATATCTGTTACTTAAGAAATGACTCATAAATATTCTTTAATATAATCCTAGCATACCCATTACATCAGTGATCTATCTAAGGACCATTTTGTCTCCATTTAATTATTTTTTTAAAGTAGTTTTTGTTGCAGGTTTTAGCTGAGAAACTATTTAGTTATCCGTAAATGACAACTTGAGTGTAACCTATAAACTTATGAGCTCTATTTAGATGCAACACTTGATAAGCTTTGACATAATATGGTTTACATTATGGGCCTTTTTGTTGGGGCCATATGGTCAGTGGAAAAATTTACTCTTGTAAACTAAGATAAGGTGAGAAAACTACTTAATTGCATTTTGGCTTTAGCTCTTTTGTTTATACCATAAAGTGTCATACTTTATTATTAGGCATGAATTATTCTTAATATATATCGTTTAAATAATTAAATTTATTTTATGGTCCTTTAATTATACCTGAATCCCGAATTATTTTACTGGAAAAGCCTTATTAATCATACCTAATTATTGATTACAATAAATAATTAAGCCATGGCTTTTAATTTGATAATAAAGCCTTAAGAATCTTAAGAAAGGTCCTAAGTAACTCTAATTAATATAGTTAAATAATTAATGATTACTTTAATTTAAAATTTGTGTTAATTATTATTCCACGTTTATCATAGCTAGTATATATAACTGTTAGAAGTTATATTAGAAAATAATTTATTTATGTGAGAAGTTATGAGATATAAATTATTTCCTTCCCTATTTTAGGCTTTCCTATTTTTTGTTATTTTTTTATTTATTTACAAATAATTAATATGAATTGATTACTGGTGATATTATGTGTTATATCTTTCCTTTTCATGCTATTTCTTTTCATTGTTTTTCTATTCTTGGATTCATGTAAGAGTATTTATACCCCATTTTCATATCAATAATATTATTCTGTTTTATTTCTCATTATTCTGAATTTCAACATGCTATCAGAGCTTGATTTCGCATCCTAGCCACCGGTCCTTCCAGAACTGTCGGACTCTCTTCCTGTCATCCTCCATGCGAGAAGAGGAGGGGCACTTGTCTTGATATTTGAAGCAACGAATTTTCTTCTTCTGTCCCTGTAGGCTTGGCCTGTCGGCTGGCCCTTCTGAAGCCAGGAGCTTTGACTCTGCCAGCCTCTAGAAAGCAAGGGGCATTAATCCATTTTATGTTGCCTTGTTAGCATAATTGAAGCAAAATCATTCTGGGGCTTTGCATTGAAATGACATCCAAAATAGAGCAGCGCCAGCAAGTCCTTCATGAAGGAATCCGCCGACGAAGAAGACTCACCTGCCACTTCCACCATAGGGTTGTGTTGATTTGGCGAGCAGTAGAAAGCAACGCTGGCAATTTCCTCCAGCACTGTGGCGACAAGTGGTGACTTTAATTTCTCAGACTCGTCAATGAGGGCAACGACACCAGGCTTCGAGCGGAGAATTTCTTCTTGTTCTTTAATTAGGGTTTTTCCTTGTGCGAGTTTGGCTTCCATCTGAAGGTTTCAATTATATTTCTTGAACGGAGCTTGAAGACGCTTGTTCATAAGGCTTAGCATCGGTCTGTTCGCAATTGCAGACTCAGAACTAGTGGGTGACTTTAAAATCGCCATTGTCACCTCATTGTTGCTGCTCCGTCCTCCCGATTAGTGGGTATCAGAGCCTAATTTCAACAAAGAAGACTCACGATTGACATCGCCTTGTGGATGTTCAAGACCACAAAACTATTGTACTGTCATTGATGCTCCCGACCATCGTGATTTCATCAAGTATGTAATCACCGAAACTTCTCAAGTGGATTGTGCTATGCTGATCATTGATTCCACCACTGGATGTTTTGAAGCGGGTATTTCCAAGGATGGCTAGACACGTAAGCATGCCCTTCTTGCTTTCACAATTGGTGTACTGTTGCAACATAATGGATGCCAACATGCCATATGATGAAATTGTATAGGAGGTTTCATCCTACTTGAAGAAGGTAGTTCCAGCCAAGATGGATGTCACCATGCCAAAGTACTCTAAGCAAGGTATGATGAAACTGTGAAGGAGGTTTCGTTCTACTTGAAGAAGGTAGTTCCAACCGCGGTCCTCCCTCCATCGTATAGTCATTCCCTGGATTCTAGTCTCAGATCTACTTGTCGCAAGATTTGAGTGCATGTTGAGTGGCGACGTCCTTAAGATCCTCATCAAAGGTATATCGCGTGGGCAACCAACCTTGGATTATTGCCTCCCTCTCACCGACGGCCTCTCTGACAAGATTTTTGTAGACCTCTGTCGTCGGGCTCTCCCTCTCACCAGTGACCCTTCTCTGATGAGTTCGTCGATGGCTTCTCTGTTGTCCCTCCAAGCCGCAGGACGTTCTTGTTGTTCTTTCCTTATAATATACCATCTTTGAGTTTTTTTCTATAGTAGGTGCTCCGCCGGTGTTTTTCCTTGCAACAATCCGACTTCCTGGTTTTCAACAGTTCGACTTCCTGATTTTCAGCAGTTCGACTTTCCTGATTCCCTGTAGTTATTTAGATTTCTAGTAGTCCGACTTGCCTGGTTTTCTACAGCCTTACAACAACAATCCTCTCTTATCACTGCCCTGCATCCCAGCTAATGCTAGGCTTCTTGAGGAAGATCTGCAGGCCCTCCTTCAGAATATTTTCCTACAGTTTTTTCTAAAGGCTGTTTACTTCCTTGCAAACTCTCCTGCAATATTACCCGTAGGGGGGGCATTACGCTTACCTACAGACACTGCAGGAATTACAGTCAATTAGAAGTCAGTCTTTTCCTACAGGTTGACTACTTTCCTACAAACTCCTCTGTAGCATTACTTGTAGGAGTCTTTTGTCTATCTACAGACACTGCTAGAACTGTAGTCAACGATAACCGCAGTTGTCTTATTCCCTGCAAACTCCCCTGTAGCATTATCAGTAGGAGTCTTCTGTCTACTTACAGACACTGTAGGAATTGCAGTCAACGACAACCACAATAAGGGATGAAGACTTCAAATTCTACTTCATGGGATCTCCCTCGCTCATTGTTTGATGTTTTCAAATCCAAGTTATATATGGTTTTCAATTATGTTCAACTTGAGGGAGAGTGTTAGAAGTTATATTAGGAATTAATTTATTCATGTGAGAAGTTATGAGGAATAATTTTTTCCTTAGATTAGGAGTTATTTCCTTTCCTATTTTATTTTTATTTCTTTGGATTAGGACTTGCTTTCCTATTTTAGGATTTTCCATTTTATGTTATTTCTTTTGTATCAAAATAATTAATATGAATTGATTATTGGAGATATTATGTGTTGTTATCCTTTTTTTAATTTTATTTCTTTTTATTGTCTTTCCTGTTCTAGGATTCATTTAAGGATATTTATATCCTCTTTTCATATAATAATATTATTCTGCTTTATTCCTCATTATTCTAAATTTCAACAAGAACATATTAATGAACTTAGTTAAAGGCTTGATTAATCTTTTATTGGTATAAATAACTAATTAATCATCTAGTAATATACTATTTATCATATACTTAATTTTTGTAATTTAATACTAATAAGTATTAAGTACTCTTAACTAAATCCCAACTCTAAATGGGCACGAAGGATCCAACTTGGTCTCACTTGACCTTTTCACTTACTAGCGGCTAAAAAGATCCAAGCATCTTCTTTTATTTATTTCTCCAGTAGAAATAAGCTTCATATTTTTTTTCTCATTTAAAACATAAATATGGTTCCTCTAGTGACAGTTTTTTATTCATTCTCTATAAAAAATAAGGTTATTTTTATATCATATGAAATTTTAACGTGGATCCTTTTTACCTGATGCATATCAGTAGTAATAGTTTCCTCTAGTCGCATGTTGTTCGAACACATGGTTTCTTATTATTATTTTGCCAGGTAAGAAGCGTGGAAGTGAAGGAAGCTCTACGCCTTCAGACGGAAAACAATTTTGTGATTCTAGACGTACGCCCTGAGGCAGAGTTTAAAGAGGTTTTTTCTTTTCAATACTTTGTAAAGTTGCCAATTGCCAATACTATTTTTTTATTTTAATCTGCTTATCTCTTGTTATGGAAAGCCACTATAGGAGGCCATGCTTAGCCATCTTGATGTCTTCTATTTGAATAACAATGTTAATTATGCTTGTCTAGTTACCTTGCTACTTAGGTGATTGCGATATGAATACATTTCCCAAAATAGCTTTTCATTCATTTCGCGATTTAGCAGTTCCTCACTACCAGTGGAACCAAGAACTTGTGTTAAAGGGAGTAGAAACCATTTATTTGTAAAGGAACTTCCATGCCCAAATGAGCTACTAAATAAATGTATGATGGGAGTTCAGTAACTTGAGGAGCAAGTTCTGAAGGGATGTGGATGATAAGTCATGGTATGAGCAAAAGCTGCAGTGAGGTTTAGAATTGGATGCCAAGGGTTTTCATTTGTTTTTGTGTGTCTTAGTGATTCTACTGATGGTGAATTTGGATTTATGTTATGTCATGTTAAGGAAACTGAAAAGGGATCTTGGTTGATCTAAGTAAATGATTTATGATTGAGTGCCCTCCAGTATTGACTTATTTCCTACCTGGCTTTCTGTCCACTCCCTTAGGTGCTGTTTGGACCTTATTTATTTCAATTTTGGGTTAGTTTTTCACTTTTTATTCTTCCTCTGGACTGGAATAGCTAATTTAGTTGGCCATAAAATTCTATGTAAGTGAGATTAATCTAATTAAACTTGACTCATGAATTGCTACTTGACCAATAAATTGCTAATGCAAATCTTGAAGTTTACTTCCATCCAAAATGTTAAATGGCTTGCATTCCTATGACAATCTAAAATTTGGCACTTTCAGCTGAATTTTTACTTTTACTTTTTCTAATATATTTTGGTTTATAGGAGTTTTATGTAGATGGATAGGAATCTAACTCATCATGAAAGTTTTTTAATAATTGTACTTGGATTCCTATCTTACCGGTGCTTGTAAGATTTCCTTCGTTGATGATCTAGGACTGGTCGGTCACTATGCCAGCCTTTCAATCCTCGCAACTGGGGGTGTAAGTGAGCCGAGTCGAGTACTGAGCTGGCTCGGGCTTGGCTTGATAAGTGACTTAAGCTTGGCTTGATGAGTGGCTCGTGAGCTGAGCTCGATGGCCAACAAACTAATCTCAAGCTAGCTCCGACTTGACTCGTTAGCTCGTGAGCCGGCTCGTTTAAAAAAATATTAATATTAAATATACTCACAATATATTAAATTCCAAAACTTATCGGTAAATTATTAAAAATATTTAAAAAATAATATTTTATATTTTATATCATGTGATTTCTTATTATTTATTTCCTAAGTATTCATTCTATTTGTTTTTTTTTTTATTATAACACTAACTTAAATTAATATTATTTTCTCTTTTATATAATAAAAGCCCGACTCAAGCTCATAGACTTATGTTCGAGCTCGAAGCTCAAGCTCAAGCCAAGGGTGGCTCGAGCTTAACTCGAATCGTAACACCCTAATTGCAGCTGATTCTTCTATTATGTGTCTTGCTATCCTTTCCTTTCTGCAATCCCTTGGTTTCTATTCCTTTCTTGAATCTATGGCCAGTTCCCTAATTTCTTTCAATTCTGTGACTCATTACTGTATTATATTTCACAAGTCAATGTTTGTTTATGTGAATTCTTTGTTTCCATCACATCTGGCCGTAGGACTTCTGACTTTGGTAGTTTTATAATAGTAAGCATATAGGGTACTTCTACAATTTGGTTTCAATGAGCAGTAGGGAATTTTAGTTGTTTCAGTAATTTTAACTGGGTCTTGAAATAAGCATAAAACTCATTTTAAGTGGTTATGTATAACAGGATGCAAATACATTGATTTAGCCTTAACATTTCCATCTTCTATCCTAGACACATGCTATCACATTACCAACATGATGAAAATTTTGAATGATTATTTTTTCCCAAAATTGGAGTTCGGCGTGATCATGACACTCTCACACGCTAGGACTTTACCTGGCACGGATGACAAATACGATGATGGTTAACTTTACTTTTTCTCTATAAACGAATTTTGTAAACTATATTTTTTCCCCTATGTTGGTGAATGTTTTATTGAAGAGGAATTAGTGTTAGTAGTGATGATGACCATGATGTTGATTGTATTTGCTCTGATTAGTGGTAATTCAGTGTATTCATTGTGTGAATATTACATTTTTATTTGGGTATTTGGTAGTTTTTGTGAACAATACAATGTTGATATTAATCAGATCTATCTATTTTTTAATTCTTTTATTGTTGTTTTGCTGATAATTAAGCATAATTACTTAAATACTGCAATGTTGTTGTACTTAAAACTATATTTGTTTCTTTTCCTTTATTGATTCTTAAGCTTTTTATTTGATACATTGGATATCATAATTTATTGTATAATGTTATTTCTAGTTTGAAAATATTTACATTATGTGCTTTGATCCCTTATTTTATAAAGATTTTATAAAAAAATTGTCCATGATATGCTGTATCCTATTTTTTGTGATTTTATTGTGGATGAATGTCTTATAATATTTGCCTTGTGCTATTATCCGTGTTTTATTTCTCATCATAGAAACTTAGCGGATCTTAGTAGGACATTACCTAGAAAGGTTGTTCCTAAGTATTGATCAATTATGATCTCAGCTATCAATCATGATCTTAACTTGAGTTGTTTATCAAATAGGAATCTCAGCGACAAAGTATGGTCTTAACTCAAGTGACATAAAGAATTGATAAGAAGAAGATCATGTTGGAATATAGAGCGGAAAAGATTAATTCATAAAGCCAACATCAAATCTCTTGGATAAGACTAAAATAAGAAGGATGATGATTTTGATGATGAGTATCTAATGTGTATTGTCTAAGGGTAAAAATACTGGAAGTTAATTGATCGTGTAAACAAGGATAGTTCATTTGAATTTTTGGTTGATTTGTGGAGTACTCTTCATATCAATTAGGGAGTTCATCAAGGCTAAGTTCTTGTGCTAAAATTTAGTATGATTATTGTGCTTGAAACTAAAAAAATTACTCAATGAGAATTTTGATCAATCAGGAAATCAGATTTATTAATTTCAATCTAGCTAAAACATAAGTGGATTTAATTTTTATCTATTTATATAAACTACGAGATTAAATCAATGTGATCTAATGTTCATGAGTTTGAATCCTATAAACCATTTTATTTTATTCAGGGGCAAGGATATTTAATCTATCATTATCTAGAATTGGCATTGAACGGGAAGCCTCTCATAGTGTTTATGCGCTTTTGTGTTTGATTCGTGTGTGCTTATTTCATTGACATATGTAAGGGCCTTAGCTTGAGCAGTATCTATAGTTTACAGGATGTTATCAGGTCTTGAACCCAATATGTAACAATTATTGTATGAAGGGTTCTTCTTGTTGTCATCTTTGTTTTAAATCGGTAGTTGAGCTTATTCCTATAAAATTTGTAATTGGCCTTATTCCCACTTTATCATTAATAAAATAAGTTATGGTTATATTTCTATTCTTACTAAAAAAAAAAATGGCATCGGCGGGCAACTTTGCTAGGGTTTCCGCCCGATGGGGATTCCCTATGCTGAATCCTTTGGCTTCACTCCACCGGCTTCGTCGTGCCTGACGACGAAGAGTTTTGCGCCATCGGCTTCATCGTGCCCGACGATGAAGGGCTTCACTCCATCGACTTTGTCTTTGCAGTTTCTGGCCGAGTCTTTCTCGCACGTCGTTTTCCTTCCTCTTCCTAACGCAGCCTGTCATCACCCTGATACGAGGCGGTTTGCATCGTTTGCAGAATATGGCCGTGTTTTTCTTACGTGCACTCCTTGCATGTCGAGATGGCATCGGGGCTCCGTTCCTACGCCGTCGCCCTTGCCAGCGATAATCCCGCTCGCGCGTCTATTTCGTGTATTTTCCTGCATAGATACCACATACCTGTTGCGCGGGGCGTTGACACTGGATTTCTCAAAAAAAACATCCAGTAAAAATGGTAAGCTTGCAATCTCTCTCTCGGAAGCTGAGATCTCCATTTTAGCTTCATCTTGCCGGCTGGTCTTAGTTGGTATGTTCCTCTATGGAAATCTCAAACTTGAGCTAATTCGAAAAGATTTTGAGCAAATGTGGCTTAAAGGGGAATGGAAAATTGGTAAACTGGACGGTAGACATATTCTTATACAATTATCAGATGATGAAGACTATGCTCATTTGTTTGCGAGAACACTCGTTCAAATATATAACCGTGTGATGAAAGTTTTAAAATGGACGGTCGATTTTGACCCTCTCACTGAACCTCCTACTGTTCCTGTATGGCTGGGTCTGAAGTTCCATCTCTTCAATCACGAGCTCCTCTACTCCTTAGCTATGGTTTATGGTAAACCCCTCAAAACTGATATTCCTACAGTTATTCTGAGTCGGCCTTCTGAAGCCAGAGTTTTGATTGAACAAGACATTACTTTACCTTTTTCGGGGGAGATCTAGATTGGCTCGCAGCACTAGGGTTTTTGGCAACGAGTGGAACTCGAACAGATCCCACTTTACTGCATCCACTGCCATATGTTTGGACACTCTCTCTCAATGTCATCATTTGAACCCTCATTTAAAATCTCAGAGTAAAAATGTTACTGGGCCCTCTGCTCCCAACTCACACCTGTCCCTCCACCCATGAGTGCAATCCATTGGCTATTGAGACATTGGTTGAAACGCCAACAACTCTCCCTCCCACTACCGGAGATCTCCCCCCACTTGTTGCCAGATGGTTCAACTGGGCAACCTACAGATTCAAACCTTGAAAACAATACTAAAGGACCTTTACCTGCAAAGGATAATATTCGGCCCGATAGTCAGGCTAACTTTGAAGCTCCTCATCTTCAGGAAGCATCAGGTGTAGAGGAGACAATTCATACTTCACATATCCTATAACCTATCATTGTTGCAACGGTTGACAATCTTTCTGATGCGGCTCTATCATCTCATCAGAACGAGCAAATTGTTACTGTTAGTCAGGCGCAAGGGGCTCATCAGCTTATACATGCCCGAGAATCTGTCGACCAACACACTGATCAGATGAGCCAGTCTTCGAATGAGAAATGACAGGTTTACACATCCTGGAGGAAGAAGAAGAATGGAGGCCTACTCGAGCTCAGGAACTTAATAGATGATATATTGGTTACTTCGGGTAATGACATAAAACTCAACAATTTGTTAGCTGACTTCTTTCCTAGAACTAGATGTAGAGGAAGGATTAAAGCTACTTGATTCTACGATTTGGCAGTTTTGATTTTTGGGTTTACATGTTTTTTTTTTTTTTGGACCTTTTGTGTGTTTTGTATTGTGTGGATAAGACGTCTTTTTTGGGCCCTCTCATACAACCTATATGTACTTTTTCTTTTTTAATATATTAGCCTTGGGCTTTTTCAAACATATTTTAGCTTTCGAGTGACACACAAGTGATAGCGAATTCAAGCAAAGGAAAAATATTTGCAAGGAAATACGTCAAAAAATAACAGATATAAGTTTCACCAATGTTTAGTTATGCCTACGTCCAAATTGAGTGACCTTTATTTTACTAGTCAAGTGAACATTTCCTCTAAAAGTTCTCTATATACTCTCTTTACTTCTCTCTTTTAGTCCTCTTATTAAAATTGTATTTTTTCCATCAAGTCTCTGTCTCAAGCTAACAACTTTAGAGGCTATTATAAAAAAACTCAAGAGCTATATATTATATATATTATATCTAAAATAATATTATTTATACTATATAATGATGTAGCCTTTATTATTTCTTTGTTTCCTCAGACCTAAGGCTGAAACTTCAACCATGTCATCCCAATAAGAATACTATATGTGAATATGAAAAGCAATATTCCCTTGTATTCCTATGCAACTTATTGTCAGTTATCTCCTTCATGTTTCTATTGAAGCTGCCAAAGGCAAGACTACCATCTATCACTTGCCTTATCGACAACCACTTGCAGGGTCATCGATCTTCTATCAATCGATGTTGATGATTGGTGAAAGATGGATACCCTATAGGTGGTTGTTGACGAAGCTGATAATAGGTGGTCTGTCTTGGCTGCTGTGACTTCAATTGTCAAGTGAAAGATACAAGTGATAATAACTTGGTAAAGAAATTATATATATATATATATATATATGGTTAGCTTATATTATTAGAGCTTTGTTATTGAGTTGATATAGTTGAATCTTTAGGCTAAAGGTTTTGATTAAAGGTGAACAGAAAGAGAGATGCAGCTATTGAGTATCTATAAAATGTATAATAGTTTATTGTTTATATACTGTAATAAATAGCTATTTAGTTTTTTTATTATATCCTATGGAATTTGTGGCCAGTTTTATGTAAGAGAAAGGGAGCTTTAAAAGGAGTGGAAAAAGAGATTGAAGAAGAGAAAATAATAGAAGCGCATCAGGGAGATTAAAGATGGAAAGAACATTTGAAATAAAATATCTATATGATGTGCCATCTCTAGGCTAGTTGAGCATCTGTCCCTTTATATGGCTATAGATGTAGGCAAATCACATTGAACCATGTAAATTTAATTCCTATCGTTTCTGAGTTTGTATTTCAGTTTTTTTTTTTTTTAATCTTCTATTCTTATTTTGCTATTGCTCTCATGTGTTTGATTTCTCCCATTAAATGATATTTGAGCTACCCATTAAGATTCTACAGGACTAACTGGAGCAATATTGTCAAATGATTTGAAGGTGAACATCAATAAATTCAATGACAGGTTTTATGTTCTAGGAGATGCAAATTGAGGATAAGCTATATCAAAAAGGCTGCATCAACCTCATCTGGGGATTAAGCAGACAATAACTAGCCAATGAGACTAGGATCTCTGGGATAAACATGCATTAGGAACACCAGCATTAACCAAGAATGTTACTTTTTGTATTATTAATGTGATGACTGTAGTTGGAGTGATGAAAAGCTTTTTCAATCATATGATAAGTTTGTGGTGGTCAATAAGATATATTTAATGAGAAAATTTTTCAATCATAAGATGATAGAATGATCTCTTATTATCGAGTATACTAGAAATCTGACTACAAGTTTGTTGAGCTCTGTTAATATTAACTTCGTTGACAAGGTTTGTTGTCATCACTTTCAGAGAGCTGGTGTAGAATTTTGATGGTTCTCTATAGTTCCAATGGGTCTAAGAAGCTAAAGATCAATGATTTACAAAATTTGATTTGATTTTAAGCGGGGACATTAGGAACAAAGCCTTAGCCAACTCCATGGATTATTAAGAGCTGATGCTAAAGAGAAATGACTCTCGTTGACAATACATCCATAACTTAGTGTCCAGGCCCAGGATTGTTGAGATGTGGAGCCTAAAGTCCTTCGACGTGATTTGGATAAAACCAGTCAAATATGGCTGCTAGCATTGCCAAATTTCCTCTTAGATTGTTCAAATCCGAAACATATCATACCACTAATCCTATTCAAATTTAAGTACAAAACTTATAAATTCATACCTAACTTCTCAAATATTTTATTATCATTCCCAGCACCTTTAGCCTTATAGGAGATAAGTTATTAGTTGGGAATGAGAAATTATGGAAGATCAAAGAGTTCTATTTGTTAACCTTTGGAGCGGTGTTCTATAGCTTGAAGCATGCAGAGACTAATAAGATGGGTCTCCAGTGATATCAATAAGAAAGCTAGACAGTGCTTAATGGTGAGTTGTGGCTAGGGCTCTATCCTTTTGGGTTTGGTTGCTGGATATGACTAGTGGAAATCATACTGGCTTATAGCTCAAGTGGCTTCAACAAAGATGTTAGAAAGAGCAGTGAAGGAGAATGGCATTTAGCTCGATTAAAAAGAAAACAGAAAAAGAATATATATATATATATATATATTTATATATATTATAAAATTTAACTCTCTAGTTTCTTTATTGTATCTCTAGGAGCTAATGGTTGCTTTAAGTAAGAAAAATAGAGGTAATGAGAGAGAAACAGAGAGATTTAAAAGGAGGGAGGATAAAGCGAGAAGCAAATTAGGGAGGTAAATATAGAATATGAAAAATATGTTTCAAGTTGTTTCTTTTGGTCGATTGGGCTGGGGTTTCTTTGGCTGTGATCCAACAGATTGTTTGAGCTCTTTTTGTTTTCGTGCTTAGGTATACTGCATGTACTTAAGCTAGTCCAGTTGTGTTGAGCCCCTTGTACATTATAGATAAGTACATGTTCATTTTTTTATATATGTACTCAAGTTCCATTGCTAAATGTATATATGTATCGGGTCTTCCCTCAGCTTTTCGGAAAGAAAAAAAAATGTTCCATTACTGGTTGATTTCAATGATGTAAATAGCGTTCTAGCTGCAAAACATTGTCTTTTGATATAAATTGTAGCACATATTTATATAGTTAAGTACTAACATGAATTCTGAAGAATATTTAGCCTGAATGACCGTAAACTGCAAATGCCCAATGTAACTTCTGAAGAATAATTAGACCTAAATGATATGTTCAAATGACACCTTATCAGTGTCATTGTTTGTTGTCATCATTGTTATCCAAATTATTTTGTGCATTAGACTACAGTTTAATGAAAACATTCAAACAAAACCTATTTAACATATCTCATTCTGTTCAGAAGTTCACATATTTTACGTCTTTCCTATGCTTGATGCTTAACCTATTCAGGCACATCCCCCTGGCGCCATCAATGTTCAAATTTATAGGTTAATAAAGGAATGGACGCCATGGGACATTGCTCGCCGTGCAGCTTTCTTATTCTTCGGCATAGTTTCTGGCACAGAAGAAAATCCTGATTTCTTAGAGGGTAAGAAACACTGCTAGTTAATAACATGCCCCCTACATAATATATGATTCCAATTTATGAATAAAAGTATTTGTGTGGTTTGCAGTTGTGGAGTCCAGGCTAGACAAAGATGCTAAAATTATAGTTGCCTGCTCATCCGGTGGAACGATGCGTCCTTCTCAAAATCTCCCACAGGGCCAGCAGTCAAGGTAATGCTATCACTAACCCACCCATTCCAGCAGAGAAAATCAGCTCAGGAAACAAGCTAAAGTAGTTTTCTTCAAATTATAGCATTGTGTATGCGTTATAACAAATAGAATACATTATGCTCCTCATTAATATTTGGTTCTGTTTACTGCAGATCTTTGATAGCAGCTTATCTCCTAGTTCTTAATGGCTACAATAACGTTTATCACCTGGATGGAGGGCTCTACACCTGGCTCAAGGAGGGGTTGCCATCTGTTTCTGAAGAGTAAGAAGAAAAAGCTTGCTAATTATTTTTTGATTTTAAGCTGCTTTCTTTTTGTAGAACTCATGAAAATCAAAATCAATTTGTGTGGATGCTGAGTAGCTTGATCTGTATAGGCTGACCATGAGAAATTTCCCTTTCCAAATAGCAGAAAACAGTTGGTTTTTATTCAAAAACAAGGCAAATTTCACTTAAATAGAGAAGGGATGGATGAATACTTGCCTGCGAATTATGAAAGCATTACTTTGACGAGCAAATTGAATTACTCGATTTCTGCCAAAATTTTCATAATGTTTTGGAATGCAGCCTTCATATTTATAAAATTTTGTTAAGACCATCCACAGTGCATCTTGCCCATGCAATTTCTTTTCATATACTAGTTTTCATGGATGGTTAATAGTGTTTGTTCTGAATGCTGGTTCTTCACTGAAACATAGATTATCATTCCTTTTATATTTAGGAGCTAGTTGAGATCATATTTATTTTTAATTTTTAATTTTTTTTAATTTGATTTTATTTATATTTTGATTTGAAATAAAACAATTTGGGCATGTTGAAGTATGACATTATTATTTTCAAAAATATTCAAAACACTTTAAAAGTTATTTTGTGTATTTTTTTTAATATTTTTTAAAAAATTAAAACAAAAAATTACACAACCCAAACATATTTTAAATAATGAAAGTAAAAAATAAAGAAATAAAGTAATGATTATACCAAGCAATGTAATGCCCAATTTTAATCAAAATTGTTACATGTAATTTACCTTCAAATTTCTTATTTTTTGCATTCCCTGAAGTTTATCCAAATTTTTTTTATTAAATATTATTTTTGCTGTTAAATTAATATATAAAAGTATTTTTAAATTATCAATAATTGAATATTATAAAATCAATCAATCACATTTAAAAATTACTTGTTTCCCTAATATTATTACTATTCAATGCTCTAATCAGCCTAGCATTCGGTTCTCCAATTTGCTTTGATATTGTCAATACAAAGTCTTCATCCAGTGAAAGTCCTATCAGCTCATTCCTCTCATTTTTTGGTACTGTCACTCCATCTTCTTAGGTACATAGTGAATTGGGTTGACTAACACTATCTAAGTGTCTGCTTCTAATCGCTTCAGAATCTCCCTTTTCACCGCCTCCATAATCATGGGGTTCAGTCTCTCTAGGTCAGTCTTGGGTCTATGTCCATACTCCATCAAAATCCTGTGCATGCATAGGGATGGGCTTGTACCTTGTATGTCATCAATGGTCAATCCAAAATCCTAGTCTATCAAGCATCTGGTCAATGAAGGGCATGGGAAAATGGTCTTTTCTAGTGGTTGTGTTCACCTTCATATAGTCAATACAAATCGTCCATCCAGTGAAAGTTCTAGTGAGTATCAGCTCAGTCCTCTCATTTTTTGGTAATGTCACTCCCTCTTTTTGGGTACATAGTGAATTTAGCTGACTCTTAACACTATCTAAGATGGGGAAGACTATGTCTGCTTCTAACCACTTCAGAATCTCCTTTTACACTACCTCTTTAATCATAGGGTTCATTCTTTCTTTGGGGGTCGTTCTTGGGTCTATGTCCATACTCCAACAAAATCCTGTGCATGCGTAGGGACGGGCTATACTTTTTATGTCATCTATGGTCCATCCAAAATACTTTCTTAATATTTTAGTACTTTCATCAACTTTTCCTCTTGCACCTCAATTAATTTTTTGAAATGATCACTGGTAAGGCTGAAGGCTCTCATAGATAAACATACTCAAGGTGATTTGGCAAGGCTTTCAACTTCAGCTTAGGGGCTACCTCTGTGAATGACACTGGGGGCTTGACATTTGTAGTGGTGTCTAAGAACTCAAATCTCTCCCTATAGGTCCTAGAGCTGCCCTCGAATACAGAACAAATTCTTCTCTAGATGTCTCACTACAATCCTCAACCATTAGTTGCTCTACCAGGTCCACTTCCATAGTTTCAACAAATTGACTTAACACTAACCCCTCCATCACTTCTATTCTATGGCACTGAGCGTCACTAGGGACTTGGGGAAATTTCATCGACTTCAAAATATCAAAAGTGCTTTCCTGATCATTACTTTTATGATCAACTTCCATTTCTAAATATTGATTATTTCCTCTCTTGTGGCTAAAAAGGGTTGTCAAGAATCAAGGGTATTTCCTTGCCCTCTTCCATATCTAGGACTACAAAATCTGTCGAGAATATGAATTTATCCACTTTGACCAACACATCCTATATGATTCCCATGAAGTAGGCTAAGGATTTGTCTGCTAACTGTAGGGTCAAGTTGGCAGTCTGGGAGTCTCATAATTCTAGTCTGTTAAAGATGGACAGTGACATTAGGTTTATACTTGCTCCTTAATCACAAAAGGCCCTCCCAACAAACTTTGCTCCAATGGCACATGGGATGGTGAAACTACCAGGGTCCTTCATCGTTTTGTGCTATATGACACTACATTCCTTAGTTAAAGCCAGTCTCAAAATTCCTTCATGAATTTGATATAACTTCACATCTATTCTAGGGCTTCTACAAATGAGATGTTTATAGTCAACTTTTTAAAAATTTCTATAAACCTAAAAAATTGTTGGTCTAGATTTTTGTTTCTGTAACCTCTAGGGAAATGAAGGTGGAAGTATTCCGAGCTCCATCCTAGAGGGTGAAATAGGTCTAAGTCCTCTACGGGGGTCTTACTCTCCCTTCCTAATTCAAGGTCTAACTCGATTGGCTTTTCTCCCTCCTTGTGGTGCCTTCCAATTCATTTCAATTCCTTAACCTCATCGCTTGTACTTGATCCTTCCCTTTCTCCATAGGGTTCACTTTAATGTTGTCGGGGAGCGTACGTGGGGTTCTTTTGTTCATTGAATTCACCATTTTACCTAACTGTTTTCCCATGTTAGGTCCCATGTTCCTAACAACTACATGTGCAATAGTGAACCTTCCATGCTTGTTGCTTTATGTTTTTAATGTAAACATCAATGTAAGTTGTGGCTTTATGCTTTTCATGAAAATATCTATGCAAGTTTTGGGTTTATATTTCATATAGTTTGCAAGTTGTCTTTATAGATTCAAGTAGAAAGCATGTATAGAGGATTGCTAATAAAATATAAAAAAAATAACTAAATAATATATGTATAGGTTCTGCTTATAAGCTTAGGTCTGATTATTCTCATAAGTTAGGTACTTAGGAAGTGATTTGCAAAGGCCATATAATTATGTTATGATATCTATAAAAAAGCAACTATTTTTACATATAAAAAAAATTCTAAATGTAAGTGTGCTCTAAAAGAAATTACTTTTATTAAAAATATATAAAAGTTTAAATTTGCTCCAAAAGAATTATCATTATATAAATTTAATTGAGCTTTGAGAGAGATAGATGAGAAGGAAATGAGTTTATGTATGCTCTAAGCTCTAAGATATTCATAAATTTTTTTTAAGCTTAAGAATTTAAAGATAAATAAAAATTCTAAGTAAACTCTCAATAAAACTTAACAAAAAATTTTCAAAAAGAAATCTTTCAAAATCTTCAAAAACAACTTTTATAGCCAAAACATAACAAAACCTTTTTAAAAATAAACCTTTCAAAAACCTTGAAAAAAAGCATCCAAAACTTAAACTATCAAAATTTTTTAAAAAACAACCCTTTAAAAACCTTAAATAAAGACTTTAAAATACAAAATTTCGCAGAACCCTTTTCAAAATAAATAAAAAATATAACAGAACAATTTTCCAAAAAAATAACCTTCTCAAAAACAAAAAAATAAAAAATAAAAACAAATAACTAGATCCTTTAAAAAAAAAATAAAAATAAAAATAACCTTTCAAAAGTATAAAAAAAAAAACAAAAAAAATCTCTTTTAAAAAATAAGCAAAATTTAACAAAACCTTTTGAAAAATATGCCTTTTTCAAAATAACCTTTAATAAAAATTTTTCTTTTTCAAAAATTAATCATTCCAAAAAGCAAAACTTAAATAAATGTTCCAAAAAATAAAACCTAAAACAAAATATCTCTCAAAAGAAAACTTAACTTTCTTGAAAAAAATTAAAAATTTATTTTACAAAACCTAAGCAAAAACTCTTTTTAAACCAAGAACAAAAGCATACACAAAATTGTCCAAATAAAGTTTAAATCACCTTTTCAAATTTAAGAAAAACTTTTCAAAGTAAAATCTTCTGTGAGCTCACTAATTATACCAAAATTATAAAACTTTACAAATCCTCCTGAATAGCTAGCTCGTGCAAGACCTATACATTTTCATGGGCTTGGCTCATAAATGAATATGTTACCTTTTATGAACATATGATTTATAAGTTTAACTTTTTAGCATATAAGTCTTAAGTAGTTTCATGCATACACATTTCACAACTTAAGGTTTAGTCACATGCATATATTATCTTTTTATGATAGAGCAAATATTTTATAAAATTATATCTTTTTTTTATGGATGCAAGAATTTTTGAAAAGTAAGCATGTGAATGAAACTTAAGCATGAAGAGTGTAAATATAAAAAAGAATTGAATGAAACTTTTCATGATATTTGTGCTTTAACATAAAGCAATAAACCAAGCACTAGAAGTCAAACCTAGAAGGAAAAATAAATGGAAAAACTCTTAGGGTAAAAAATTAAATGCAAAACTTGAACTTAGAAGACCCTGATTTTCACAATGAGCGTCAAACTAGTAGGTGAAAGAGTTCATAAATTTAATATCAAATCTCCAAAACAACTATAAAATCATCAACTTAAATCACGAGAACCACTACTTGGAATATCAACTATGAACCTTATTTTAGCCAACTTAGAAGCAAAAATAAGAATAATACAAACCCCAGAATTGTCTAGTTTAGAAGCCTAGGTTAGATTATTATGTACCTTAGTTAGTGTTAAAGTCTAGGACATATAAAATAAACAGTCTTACCCCCTTTGACTATATAGGTGATCAAGGATGAAGTAAACCATGGTCACTGACGAAGACACCTTTATCTATCTAATAGTAAAAAAGTTTAACAGTGGAGACCCTTTACGATTCGGCTGGTTAATACTTTAAGGATTATAATGCACTCGGGATGATGGAAAGTCATATGCATTTTGATCGGTTTTATTCCCAAAAATTAAGTTAACCCACCCATTCAGCCTCATTGTAGAGTCTAGTTTTATTTTAGAGTTAAGGCTTTACTTTTATCTAAAAATCCTTCTAGCCTGTCTGATTCTCTAGTATAGGATTCAATGTCTTCAGATTAACCTTTATAACTCCTTATTTAAAAAT